ACGGCAAGGCTGCATACTCTCACCCAACCTTTTTAACTTGTATGCAGAACACATCACGCGATGTGCGGGGCTGGATGAATGCAAAGCTGGGGTGAAAATTGCTGGAAGAAACATTAACAACCTCAGATATGCAGATGACACCACTCTGATGGCCGAAAGCGAGGAGGAGCTGAGGAGCCTTCTAATCAAGGTGAAAGAAGAAAGCGCAAAAGCCGGGTTGCAGCTAAACGTCAAAAAAACCAAGATTATGGCAACAAGAATTTGACAACTGGAAAATAGAGGGAGAAACCGTGGAGGCCGTGACAGACTTTGTATTTCTAGGTGCAAAGATTACTGCAGATTCAGACTGTAGCCAGGAAATCAGAAGACGCTTACTTCTTGGGAGGAGAGCAATGTCCAGTCTCGATAAAATAGTGAAGAGTAGAGACATCAGACTGGCAACAAAGATCCGCCTAGTCAAAGCCATGGTATTCCCTGTAGTAACCTACGGATGTGAGAGCTGGACCTTAGGGAAGGCTGAGCGAAGGAAGATCGATGCTTTTGAGCTGTGGTGTTGGAGGAAAGTGCTGAGAGGGCCTTGGACTGCGAGAAGATCCAACCAGTCCATCCTCCAGGAAATAAAGCCCGACTGCTCACTGGAGGGAAAGATACTAGAGACAAAGTTGAAGTACTTTGGCCACATCATGAGGAGACAGAAAAAGCCTAGAGAAGACAATTATGCTGGGGAAAGTGGAAGGCAAAAGGAAGAGGGGCCGACCAAGGGCAAGATGGATGGATGGCATCCTTGAAGTGACTGGACTGACCTTGAGGGAGCTGGGGGTGGTAAAGGCCGACAGGGAGCTCTGGCGTAGGCTGGTCCATGAGGTCACGAAGAGTCGGAGACAACTGAACGAATGAACAACAACATAGATTAACCACACTCCAGGGCAGAGAGTTCCACTGCTGAACAGCTCTCACAGACAGGAAGTTCTTCCTAATGTTCAGATGGAATCTCCTTTCTTGTAGTTTGAAGCCATTGTTCCGTGTCCTAGTCTCCAGAAGCAGAAAACAAGCTTGCTCCCTCCTCCCTGTGACTTCCTCTCACATATTTATACATGGCTATCATGTCTCCTCTCAGCCTTCTCTTCTTCAGGCTAAACATGCCCAGCTCTTTAAGCCGCTCCTCATAGGGCTTGTTCTCCAGACCCTTGATCATTTTAGTCACCCTCCTCTGGACACATTCCAGCTTGTCAATCTCTTTCTTCAATTGTTGTGCCCTGAATTGGAGACAATATTCCAGGTGTGGTCTAAACAAGGAAGAATAGAGGGGTAGCACGACTTCCTCTCTACACTGCAAAATAGATGCAGTTTGGACACTACTTTTCCCTGCCAGAGATTGCTAGGGCCTCACCACACTCCAGCTCCCTGGATTCTCTTGCACTTCAGGCAAGGGGTCCAGCTACTTTTACTCCACACTGTGGATATAGATTACACAAGGCTAGGCTGTCCTGGGAGAAGCCTGCCCAGGGAGGCGGAGCTTTTGGGAAGGGCGGAGGGAAGAGGAGGCACTGCTTTGGGGACAGCTGCGCATGCGCAACGCGAGGCCTCGGCTGCAAAAGGAGTCCTGGGGTCGCCAATCCTGGCTGCTGCTGCTGCTGCGCCCATGAGCTGCGAGGTACGCAGGGTTTTCCCTTGGGTGCACTCACATGGCAGGACACCACTTGCCCTACCTCCTTGCAATCCAGAAAAGGCTACAGGCCTTGCAGAACTACAACTCCCGTTGCACCATTGCAGGCTGAAAGAGAGGAAAAGGGGGTGGGTGAAGGATCAGTATTGAAGGCCCTAAAAGCATATTTAGGCATTGCATGCTGGTTTCTATCACAAGGGTCTGCACTGCAGAGTGAATGCAGTTGGACACCACTGTAAACCTACAAAGCCCAGTGCTGTGGCATCATGGGAGTTGTAGTTTGGTGAGGCAAATCCTTCTAGAGCAGGCATGGGCAAACTTGGGCCCTCCAGGTGTTTTGGACTCCAACTCCCACAATTCCTAACAGCCGGTAGGCTGTTAGGAATTGTGGGAATTGGAGTCCAAAACACCTGGAGGGCCCAAGTTTGCCCATGCCTGCTCTACAGCTACAATTCCTTTAATTGCATAACACTAAATGCAGCCTAAGTGACCTTCAGTGTCCAGTATCTGATCCCAGATTATCTGCTACTTTGAACTCTTATTATATTTATTTATTTACGCCATTTATATACTGCCCTTCTCACCCCTAAGGGGACACAGAGCAGCTTACAATACACACACACACACACACACACACACACACACACATACACACACACACATATACACACACACAATATATTATTAGCATAGTACAATATCACTATTAAATATTACTATATTGTACTATACCATTATATTGTAATATTATTAGTAATATTACATGTAATATAAATATATAATTATTTATTATTAGTAGTAGTATATTGCATTATTAGAACTGGTATAATCCAGTTTGAACCCAGATATTTTAGACTCTTATCCAACTGCCATGTAACCTACTTCAAACTAGAAATAGGATTATGAGACAGTGTGTAAAAATGGGGCCCGAGTTTCACCGTCCCAGGGTGCATCTGCACTGAAGTATTAATGCAGTTTGTCCCCCTCCCCGCTTTAGCTGTCAATATGTCTCAGTCCCCAGTAGTGCAGTGGGTTAAACCCCTGTGCCGGCAGGACTGAAGATCGACAGGTTGCTTGTTCGAATCCGGGGGGAGGTGGATGAGCTCCATCTATCAGCTCCAGCTCCTCATGCGGGGACATGAGAGAAGCCTCCCAGAAGGATGATAAAACATCAAATCATCCGGGCGTCCCCTGGACAATGTCCTTGCAGACGGCCAAATCTCTCACAACAGGAGCGACTTGCAGTTTCTCAGGTTGCTCCTGACACACACAAAAAAAAGTGCTATGGAAAGCTTGATAGCCCGTATCACTATAACTCTCATGATTCCGTAGCATTGAGCCATGTCAGCAAAAGTGGGGGTCAAACTGAATCTCATAGTGTAGATCAGGCACGGGCAAACTTTGCCCCCCCCCCAAGTGTTTTGGACTTCAACTTCCACAATACCTAACAGCCGCTAGATTTTTAGGAATTGTGGGAGTTGAAGTCCAAAACACCTGGAAGGCTGAAATTTGCTTATGCCTGGTGTAGATGCACTCTAAATGAAATGGCAGTGGGACACCAGCATGTCGTCAAAACTGTGCACTGAGCACCATTTGACACCACTTTAACCACCATGGTACAGTGTGATGGATGCACAGGAGTTGGATTTTGGTGAAACCCCAGCACTTTTAGACATAGAAAGATTAAAGCCTTTGTAAAACAACATCTCCCAGGATGGCATAGCATTGAGCCATGGAAGTTAAAAGTGTCAAACTCTATTCATTCTGCAGTGCAGATACACTCAGATGGGTTTTCACTTGCACTTGTGCTCAAGGCTGGGTTAAGCATGAAGCAGAATAAGCCCCTGTGCTTGAGGCCTGGAGGGAAGGTGGCGCCACAGTAGCTTCTCTTGCTAATTTTTCCATGGATCTTGTGAGTCAGGATTCACAAAAGCAGCTTCTGCAATAAATAAAAAACACCATTTGCTACTAGAGAAAGTAGAAAACTTTTCAAATATAAAATAGAAGTATAGGTTGGTGGTTCGAATCTGTGGAGCCGGGTGAGCTCCTGCTGTTAGCCCCAGCTTCTGCTAACCTAGCAGTTCGAAAACATGCAAATGTGAATAGATCAATAGATACCACTCTGGTGGGAAGGTAACAACACTCCATGACCTTGGAGGTGTCTACGGACAACGTCAGCTCTTTGGCTTAGAAATGGAGATGAGCACCACCCTCCAGAGCTGAATAATAATAATAATAATAATAACAACAACAATAATAATCTTTATTTGTACCCCATCACCATCTCCCCAATGGGGACTCTGTGCGGCTTACATGAGGCCAAGCCCAAACCAACAGTTACATAAAATAAAACCGATAACGCAAATAATGAACAATAATAACGCAATTACATAAAACAAATGAAAACATAGCAATATAAGATTACAATAAGCACAATCACAGCTGAACACAACTAGACTTAATGTCAAGGGGAAAACTTGGAAGGAAGGGTGAAAGTAAATAGAGGGAGGGGAAAGAGAGAAGAAAGGAAGGAGAAAGAGAGGGAATGGAGGGAGGAAAAAGGGAAGGAAGGAAGAAAGGGAGTAAGAGAAGGGTGGAAGGAAGGGTGGAAGTAAATAGAGGGAGGGGAAAGAGAGAAGAAAGGAAGGAGAGAGAGGGAATGGAGGGAGGAAAAAGGCAGGGAAGGAAGGAAGAAAGGGAGTAAGAGAAAGGTGGAAGGAAGGGTGGAAGTAAATAGAGGGAGGGAGGAGAAAGAAGGAAGGAAGGAAGGAAGGAGAAAAAGGAAATGGAAGGAGGAAAGGGGGAAGGAAGGAAGGACGAAAGGGCGAGAGAGAGGGAGGTAAAGGAAGGGAGGGAGGGAAGAAGGAAGAAAAGAGAGAAGGAAGGAGGAATAGGATGTTGTGAGAGAGGAGGGCCTAAGAAAAGAGCCCAAGGGGCTGCATCTGGCCCCCAGGCCTGGGTTTGCCCATACCTAGATTAAAGTATTTTATAGACTTTCAAAAGATATGCTGATATGAAACACACACATCTGTTCAAAAGTGATAAACGAAATCATTCTGGAACATCAGCACACTAATCAGAACTTAAGTTGCAACTGGATGGATAAAATATATCCAATGTGGGAAAGTACTCCACTGCTACATTTTTCCTTTTCCCTTCAAATTTAGCATCTATAAATAAACACATTTAAAACAGCTACAATGTTCAAAGTATTTTTTTTCAATGCAGGTCTGTTATTAGGCAGTAAGCACGTCACATGTCTTCAGAGGCATAGGTGCTTCTATTACAAAATTGGTTTCATGTGATATCTAACACAATTGAGCCCTGTCTGAAGGAAGCTAATCTGAATTCGCTAGTTATCCTGGTAGAAAGTTGCACCTGCACTATAGAATTAATACAGTTTGATAGCTTTTGAACTGCCACAACTCAGTGCTATGGAATATGGCAGTTGTGTTTCTGTGAGTCTTTAGCCTTCTCTGCCAAAGAGAGTTGGTGACAACTTTTGAGCATGATATTCTAACCAATTATGGATCCATCTATTGATGTTTCCATCTGCTCAATATTGTAAACAGTTACTAATCAAAGAATTATGGGGAAGCTTATAAAATGCTCTGCTTGTTGTTTTTCATTTGTTTAGTCGCTTCCGACTTTTCGTGACCTCATGGACCAACCCATGCCAGAGCTCCCTGTTGGCCGTCACCACCCCCAGCTCCTTCAGAGTCAAGGCAGTCACTTCAAGGACGCCATCCATCCATCTTGCCCTTGGTCGGCCACTCTTCCTTTTGCCTTCCATTTCCCCAATCATCATTGTCTTCTCTAAGCTTTCCTGTCTTCTCATTATGTGGCCAAAGTACTACATCTTTGCCTCTAATATCCTTCCCTCTAATGAGCAGTCGGGCTTTATTTCCTGGAGTATGGACTGGTTTGATCTTCTTGCAGTCCAAGGCACTCTCAGAATTTTCCTCTAATACCACAGTTCAAAAGCATCTATCTTCCTTCGCTCAGCCTTCCTTATGGTCCAGCTCTCACATCTGTAGGTGACTACGGGGTATACCATTGCTTTAACTATGTGGATCTTCATTGCCAGTGTGATGTCTCTACTCTTCACTATCTTATTAAGATTGGTCATTGCTCTCCTCCCAAGAAGTAAACGCCTTCTGATTTCCTGGCTGCAGTCTGCATCTGCAGTAATCATCACGCCTAGAAATACAAAGTCTGTCACTGCCTCCACGTTTTCTCCCTCTATTTCCCAGTAATCAATCAGTCTGGTTGCCAGAATCTTGGTTTTTGTGATGTTTAACTGCAACCCAGCTTTTGCACTTTCTTCTTTCACCTTGATTAGAAGACTCCTCAGCTTCTCCTTGCTTTCGGCCATCAAAGTGGTATCATCTGCATATCTAAGGTTGTTAATGTTTCTTCCGGGAATTTTAACCCCAGCCTTGCATTCATCAAGTCCCACAGATTGCATGATGTGTTCTGCGTACTAATTGAATAGGTTGGGTGAGAGTATACAACGCTGCCGTACGCCTTTCCCAATCTTGAACCAGTCTGTTGTTCCATGGTCAGTTCTTACTGTTGTTACTTGGTCGCTATACAGATTCCTCAGGAGACAGACAAGGTGATTTGTTATGCTCTGCTAAGATCCAGATAAATGGTACTTGTATTTCCAGCATCTAATAAACTAGCAAGCTTCCCCCCCCCCCTCTCTCTCTATATGTGTGTGTGTGTGGTTAGTTTGGCAGTATTTTTTTTTTTTTTACAAACCCAAGCTAGGTCTTACTAATCACTGAACTGCAATGAGCTGACTTGTAAACAGACTTCTGTATAATCCGTTCAAAATTTTTCCTAGTATTGAGGTCAGGCTGACTGTTCTGTAGTTTCCTGGATCATCATTTTGAGCTTTTTTTTGATGAAAGGAGCAATGTTTGCTCGGGTCTGGCACTTAACCTGTTCTGCAAGATTTCTCAAAAATGATGGAAGTGGTTCTGCCAGTATGTCAGCAAGTTCCTTCTATGTTCTGGATGCAGTTCATCTGGCTGTCTTTGTAGGTCTGAACTCATTTAGGTATCTTCTGACTAACTCCTTATCAATCTTGATTTGCAACTCCGATTCCTTGCCAAGGGCTCTGCTGATTTGTGTTTTCTTGGGCGGAAAAAACTGAAGCAAAACAGATATAATTTACAATAGCAAAATAGTTTCAAACCATATTGAGATTAATGACTGTAATATATTTTTTAAAAGCATACAACTATAGGCTTGGCCCCAAAATGGAAATCTTACGAAAAATGGAGGGTGGTGAAAGACGAGTGCACTCCTAGACGCATTTTGAAAGAAGCTTTCAAGTTTTCAAAATGTATTTGTGTACTTAGGCAAGTCTTGCCAGGCCTGATTGGGTTGTTGCAGGTTTTTTCGGGCTATATGACCATGTTCTAGAGGCATTCTCTCCTGACGTTTCGCCTGCATCTATGGCAAGCATCCTCAGAGGTAGCGAGGCCTGATTGTTTTATTTTATATGAGCATATTGTTAGTTTTGGTAAAAGGTTTGCTGACACTTGTTGAAGGCATTTTTTCTTTTTTATGGTGTAGGAGCTCATCCCATATTAGTTCTGCTGCTGGTACCAGATTTTCTGTTAAAGAAGTAATGTCCAGGAACACATCTAATTTGTTAATCGATAATTGTTCAGGCAGTCTCCGAGTTACAAACATCTGACTTACAAATGACTCGTAGTTAAGAAAGGAGATGAGACAACAGAAGAGTGAGAAATCTACCCCCCTGAAAGGAAATTCACTCCTGGAACAGTCATCATGGGGAAAAGGTGTCTCCACCAAAGCCTTATCATCAAGACTTGTTTCCATAACAAGCCAATTTTTTTCAAAATCCAATTCTCACAGGGACAGAAAGTGAGGTGAAATTTTCTGAACAGGACCACAGACAGCAAAACAAATGCCACAGGGTGATAACCATTCCCAACACAACCCAAAGCATATGTGTGTGTGTGTGTGTGTGTGCAAAGCATATGTGTGTGTGTGTGTGTGTATACATACATACATACATACACACACACACACACACACACACATGGTTGGAGTTATACTTAAAAATGTAAGTCTTCCAACTTATAAACAAATTCAACTTAAGGACAAACCTACAGAACCCTTTTTTTCCCTTCCTTGGAGGGCTGCCTGTATGCTTGTACTTGTCTTACTTTCAAATGCCAAAATGTATATTTATCTGTTAAATATTGTTATTATCTATTTATTTTTATTTTATTCAGTATTATTTTAGCAAAACAACATACCAACCTTTATCTCAGAACCCCAGGGAGGTTGTTGTTGTTGCTGTACTAGTAGTATAACTTTAAGTAGGAGTCAAGTAGTTCAACACATCTGGTAAGTGCCATTTTGGATAAAGTTGATTTTATCTTTGATTTCCTTTAAAAAAAAAAAAAGAACTCCAGCTCAGCCTTGTTGATTTTATGGTCAGCTGTGAAACAGAATGGGACTTACTTCTGAGTAAATATGTATGTTGTTAAGTGCATCTACCTTTGCTACCTAGAGGCCCATCCAGACAGGACCCAAAATGCAGGGTCTGTCTGACTTTTACTGGAGGCGTCTAATCAGTGCCTCCGGTGAAAGCGAATCCATTCGGGATGAAGCAGATAAACCATTTTCCTCTGTGAACTCAAGTCTGACATATGTTATACAAACAATTAATTTTAATATAGTTCTAACTGGCATTTTTTAAAAATACAGGTGGAAGTGTTGTACTTTGCAAGAAGTGCTGAGCTTGCCGGTGTCCACACCGAAACCATTTCAGTGCCCCAACACATAACATCACTGCAACTGTGGGAAGAAATTGTGAAAAAGCATCCAAGGTACTCTGCTGTGGGACTGCAGCCTTAATATAATGCTTGTTGTTGTTTACCATCAAGTTGCTTCTGATTAAAGGGAACCCAGTCACAGCAAGATTTGTAAAGGAGATTTGTCATTGACTTCATCTTAAGCTGAGAGTGTGATTCGGGTCACTCAGTGCATTTCCATGGCTGAACAGAGATTCATACTTTGCCTTCCCAAAGTCCTAGTTCAACTCTCAAACTCATACTTGGCTCTTATGGTAGAATCTCTTATTAGTGTCAAGACATACAAAGTGTTGCCTGTGTATCATCTGAGGCACCTCAACCCTTTTTGTGACCCCCAGAATCCTCCCACCATGACCAAAGTCTCTTCCCTCCCCCCATCAATCCAGGTAGCCTTTTTCTTCTCTAGCCACACCAAAGGAGCTGTGACCCCATGTGCTGTGCCAGTGGTTTGAGGCTGTTCCCACTTTCAATCCTATGTTCATATGTTTGTGTGTGCCTGTTTGGAGAAGTGGGAGATGTCTGGTCCTCTGGCTGCCTAAATGCCACCTCACTTCAACCTTGTTTTGTGATGCCCAAGTTCTGCAAAAGATCCTCCAAAGCCCTTGATGCCTGGATCTTTTTTGAACTGATCATTTTTGGTCTGGAATTGGTTAAAATTGTCTACTCTTAGAGTTCCCAAGAGAAAAGATCAATTTAATCTCTTGTAAAAAAAAATAAATACTCTTCTGCAAAATCTCTGTCTTGCTAAGGAGATAGGTCTCCTTAGTAAGCCATGAGCCTCTTTTCAGACATGTAACACTTCTCCATCTCTAAACCTGTAGATCAGTGGTTCTCAACCTTGGGTCCCCAGATGTTTTTGGCCTTCAACTCCCAGAAATCCTAAGAGCTGGTAAACCGGCTGGGATTTCTGGGAGTTGTAGGCCCAAAACATCTGGGGACCCCACGTTGAGAAACCACTGCTGTAGATGTATGTGTGGGATTGGGCAGCCGATTATGTAGTTCCAAGTAGAGTTGTCCCTCCATATCCATGGGTTCTGCATCGATGAATTCAACCAATCATGGCTCAAAATATTTTTGAAATTACCCAAAACCATCCTTGATTTTTCCATGCACCGAACAGAGTCAATGTCTAAGCATATTTTGCAGTAGCGTCTCACCATTTTAAAGATTGTCAGGCTGTCTCCGACATTCATTTGAATTGTTCACCATTTTATATAAAGAGATGTCATTGCATGATCTTCTGACATACCTCTTGCAAGGACAGGAAAGGTACACCATAATCAGAGTAAGCCTTTTTATTCTGAAAGCTGACAAGAAAAGAGCACATTTCCTGAAAGAAGAACCAGGAAAATAAGATTCTGATTGTAAATAGAAGGTCAGCTGATGTCCTCTCCTTTTTGCCTTGTCTTTCATTCGTGTTGTATTTTGATATGGTCATATGACTGGTCAAATTAATAAATTATTATTATATTATCATTGCGTATAATGGGACTTGAATATCCCTGGATTTTGATATTCATCTGAGGTGGGGGTGTCCTGGAGCTAAAGCTCTTTGAGATAGCTTGTGAAGTGTCTCCTTGCTTCAGCTGTATGGTAAAAGATGAGCTCATAACATGTTTATAAAGAGGCATAATTAAATGACACTTTCCTTATTGTTGTTTGCTGTCAAATCAGCATTGACATATGTGAATGAGAGATCTCCAGGAACTCATGTGTTTGAAAGATCTGCTCAGGTCTTCTAGGGGTGATTTGTATGTGATTTCCTCTGTTTAAAAGCCTCCAAATAAGGAGCCTCCACCACACTCCAGGGCAGAGAGTTCCACTGCTGAACAGCTCTCACAGTCAGGAAGTTCTTCCTCATGTTCAGATGGAATCTCCTTTTTTGTAGTTTTAGCTTCTAGTATTTTTTGTTAATCTATTTCCCAATGCTGTTCCTTTAGTCTTTCTGCTATACAGGACCAAGTGGTTTTTGCTGTCCGGCAGGAGTATGTGCTTCTTGGAGAACAGCTGTTAGACCTTCGCTCTGGGGACGAAGTTGCAATTATTCCTCCTATTAGTGGAGGTTAGATATTGAAAAGGCATCCTCAGGTACATCATGGTTTTTTCTGAAACATTAATTGTGTTGACATATATATCATCATAGTAGAATATTGGTACAGGTGCTACCCCATAGGTACTTGGATATAAAACAGATGTTGTAGGCTGTGCAGGTTTACCATCCTTTTGTATTCAATATATACAAACTTTGTGTTATGCACAACATTATTAAAAATATTGTGTGTAAAATTATCTCGTAGCTATGTGTATAAGATGCATATGAAACATCTATGAATTTTGTATTTAAACTTGGCTCACATCTCCAGGATATCTCTTTATGTGTACAGGCAGTCCCCAGGTTACATACAGGATAGGTTCTGTAGGTTCATTCTTAAGTTGAATCAGTATGTAAGTTGGAATGGGTACTTTATCAGTATTAACTAGAGCCATTTTTTTAGTTTTAATCCCGATGGCACAGTGTATTAAACCGCTGAGCTGTTGAACTTGTTGACTGAAAGGTTGCAAGTTCGAATCCGAGGAATGGCATGAGCTACCGCTGTTAGCCCCAGCTTCTGCCAACCTAGCTGTTTAAAAACATGCAAATGTGATTAGATCAATAGGTACCATTCTGGTGGGAAGGTAATAGCGCTCCATGCAGTCATGTCGACCACATGACCTTGGAGGTGTCTATAGACAATGCTGGCTCTTCGGCTTAGAAATGGAGATAAACACCAACCCCCAGAGTCAGACACGACTGGACTTAATGTCAAGGGGAAAGCTTTACATAATCTTTGTTTTCCTGTTATTGTTTCTACGAGAATACAAAATTTTCAAAAGCCAGTTGTTACAGGAACAGAAAGTGAGATGAAATATTCTGAACAGAGGCATAGACAACCAGGGAAAAGGGGACTAGGAACAATGGGTGGGGTAACCACTTTCTAGGGGTCATCAACATGCTCCGTTGCCTTTTCTCCCAAGCCAAGTTTGAAGGGATTGGGAGGCTGGGAACAGGCTCCTTCTTCCTTCACCGCCAGTTGTGGCTGTGGAGGAAGAGCAAGAGAGACTGGCTACAAGCTCCTCATCGTTCCTCCCCAGCCAAGCTGGAGGCCTGTTGCTAGTGTTCCTTGCTCTTCTCCAGGAGCCTTGGCTGGGAAAGAAAGGTGAGGGAGCATCACCACTCCCCAGAGGCTGGCTGCTCTGTTCTTCTCTCCCAACCACTGGAATATGACTTGTCAAACTGATCTGAACATTTTCTTAAAAATGTATGCCATATTCATGAAATGAACGTGTTGGTGGTTGTATATGATTGATTGATCATACATTGTTCAATCCCCTGTCATCTAGAAAACAATCTCATTAAGTGTAGTAATAATGATATTGTTTATTGTTTCTAGGGGCATCATGAATGAAAATGAGGATGAGCCCAAGGACATAATTAAACTGAACTGTGAGAAGCTCTCAGCAGATGAAATATCAGCACTGGTGATTTCTCCTTGTTGCGGGGCTGTGTCTTTATTTATAGGTAGAGTTTATTCATATAGTTTGAATCTCTTTGTATAAGAGTAAAACTAATGAATATTTAAATTGTCCTATAGAAATGTAAACAGTGGCAGACAGAAAGATGTAGTGTATAAGAGGATTGAGTGGAACAAGGGAGAAGCATTTATTACAGTTGTCCTTTTCTAAATCGCAAAGATTAGAATAGTTGCTTTAAAATTAAAGGTGGGTTGGCTCTGGGATCATACATGTCACAATTGCCTGAGGAAGACTGAGGGAAGTCAAGGGGCAAAAATAGGAGTCTCATATTCTACATGTGGCCCAAGGACATGTTCTTTGGTCCCCATTATCAACCCACTTCCCTCATAATAATTATATTCTCCTGTTTTGGAGTTTGGAAACACTTTCAAAAGCGCAGGGCAGGGGGTTAGACTAGATTTAGTTCTATCCGTCCCCGGAACATATGTTTAATCATAAAGCAGTTGTTCCTCCCCAATCACTTACGAGTCCTCATCTGAGAATCTTTATCTAAGAACTACTTATAACTTGCCTGCTGATAAACAGCTTAAAATCATACACTTCAGTCTCATCTTTTCATATGTCATATGTGCAAATTGAACATGTTCTTCCATTTCAGGCACTACCAGAAACAATTTCGAAGGGAGAAAAGTGATACAGTTAGATTATGAAGCATATGCACCCATGGCAGAAGCGGAATTGAAGAAAATATGTGCAGATATTAGGTTGAAATGGCCTTCGGTGAAACATATAGCAATACATCATAGACTGGGGTATGTGTGGTCAATATCCTGCTTTGTTTTTGGACAGGGTGTGATTTCAGATTTAGATTTTTAAAAACCCAGATAGTTGCCTTTGTTGGGATGAAGGAATGTAGGAAACTATACTAGTGGCTTGTTGTTGTTGTTGTTCATTCGTTCAGTCGTCTCCGACTCTTCGTGACCTCATGGACCAGCCTACGCCAGAGCTCCCTGTCGGCCGTTACCACCCCCAGCTCCCTCAAGGTCAGTCCAGTCACTTCAAGGATGCCATCCATCCATCTTGCCCTTGGTCGGCCCCTCTTCCTTTTGCCTTCCACTTTCCCCAGCATAATTGTCTTCTCTAGGCTTTCCTGTCTCCTCATGATGTGGTCAAAGTACTTCAACTTTGTCTCTAGTATCTTTCCCTCCAGTGAGCAGTCGGGCTTTATTTCCTGGAGGATGGACTGGTTGGATCTTCTCGCAGTCCAAGGCACTCTCAGCACTGAAAGTGCTGAGAGTGCTGAGAGTGGCTTGTTAGCAGCTTGTTATACTCTGACTGGCAGCAACTTCCAAGGTCTTAGCAAAGATCTTTCCTAGAATTTGGGAAGTTATTCCAGAATGTCCCTGGAAGCATTTCCAGGTGGTTGTTTTTCCAAGTTCCTGGCTTCCTTTCCATCATTGCCCACGGGAACTCCTTCTCCTGTATAATCCACTGAGTTCTTCTGGGAGGCGTCTACTCCAGTAAAGCTAGAACCTGACCAGCAACTGTCACCCAGAGGACATTTTAATCGGCTGCCACAAGACCACAGAATGACCTGCCAGAAGAGCTCTGACAACTAAATCAGCTGTCAGAGTTCAAGACTCAGCTGAAGACCTATTTCTTCTGGGAGGCCTACCAAATCAATTTTAAACTGCATTTTATTGTTATCGGTGTCAGTGTGTGTTTTAATATATGCTTTTTAGTGGTGTTGGATTATTTGTTTAAACCATGTTTTAGCCTACCTCGAGCCACAAGGAGAGGCGAGTATCATATTAACAACAACAACAACAACAATTCTGTTTGTACATGTGCCTTCAAATCACTATTGACCTCTGAATTTCATAGGATCTTAGAGGCAGTTTTGCTAATTCCTTCCCCTGAAATACAGAATACTGCATCTGGTATTCATTAATTGTCTCCATCCAAGTACTAACAGGGGCTGACCTGCTGAGCTTCCAAAGTCAATGTGTTTTTAGAGTATTTTCCCCCTGTTACCCAAGTATGTATTAAATTGGCTATTTCAAGAGTTAAATAAGCATCTTCTTCATACAAGGATGAATGAAAGGATCATACTAGATCACTATTTTTTTTTTTTGCAGAAGCATTCCCTCCAGGAGGCAAAAAGCCCTGTGTCTCACAGCATGTTCACCTACTTACTTTGAACTTAATGTACTTCAGGTTTTTTTTTACTGTATATTAGAAGATAAACATGGACTTAATGTAGATATACGATTACTGCCTGCCTGAGAAAGTCCCATTTGAGTCCAGGGGGTGGGGGCTAGGGGATAGATTAAGTGTAGTGAATACAGTCTCTTTGATATCTAGGTTTAACTGGGGATGAGAAATAGTTGGCACATGATTACAATTGTTCATGTCAAATACTAGTAGAGAATTAGGGAAGGAGGTAAGGTTTTGAAAGGCTCTGTTGTTCAAGAGAATGGGTGGAAGTACTTACATGAAGAAGCTGTGCAGGCTACAAAGCTGAGATGAAGGATTTAAGCCCGAGGAAAAAAATCTGAGGGGAGCAGGGTAGGCTGCTGATTCCATTGTTTGATACAAGTTTTGCTCATTTCATTTGATGCTTAGATAGAGTAATTAATAGACTTGTGCATTTGAGGGAAACCTTGTCCCGTTTCATGCCGTGACTTTCATTGGGGGTCATTGATCCATTTTTTTGTAAGCCTTCTGAAATTGGGAGGGTTGTTTTCTGTTCTTTCATTTCAGGGCCTGAAAATCGGGCCATTATTTTGGGGGGGGGGCTTCCCAATCACTGGCTCCTCTTCCCAGCATGTATTCTTCTTACCTGGCTCCTACTGTTTCTACTCTTAAAGTAAAAGGCACTTGGCAGTAGGCACTGGTAGGCTTGCACGCTTTCTGGGCCCACCTGCACACCCTGCCACAGAGGCACTCTCCTGAAAAGAGTGTATGTGTGTGGTGGGGCATGCAGGCAGGCCCGGAAGGCACGCCTGCCAGCACCTGCAGCCAAGCGCTTCTTACTCTAGAGTAAGAGGTGCTCAGCTGCAGGCACACTCTGGGCCTGCCTACCTGCACGCCCCGTACAGTTTCCGAGAGTACATGTGTGGCAGGGCATGCAGGCAGGCTCAGAGCGCACCTGCAGCTGAGCTCCAGGCCTGCCTGCATGTCCCCACCACACATGCCCCATCACACTCTCCAAGAGTGTGTGTGTGGCAGGACGTGCAGGCAGACCCAGAGTGCACCTGCAGCTGATCTCCAAGCCTGCCTGCATGCCCTGCCACACATGCACTCTCCAAGGCAAGGAGGCAAGTTCGGATGCACATGAGAGCAGGCGTTTGTGTTGAGCAGATTTTCATGTGGGGAGGGGACTTCTCATTTCATGCTTCTGAAGAAACAGAAGATATGAAAAAAAATGGTAGGAACGAATTTCGTGCACATGCCTAGTAACTAAGCTAGAGTTCTTAGGAGATCTAAGCAGTATCCATTTCTTGGCTTACTGTGTGGCAGCTTGCTCAGAGCTCTTAACTAAGGAATGGAACAAGAATCAAATTCAGTAAAACACATCCATATACAAATAGAAGAAGTAGCTGGTAGCTTCCATATCAGTGGGTAGATTATTTGCTCCATTTTAATTGAGTTATTTAAGGTCTTGAATCTGTTTTGAGGATAATGTGTATGTAGTGCCTTGCTTTGAAGTTCAGACTAAAACCTAGAGTGTATTTAATGTTCCGTGAGCATAGATGTCACAAACAACTACTACTTAGTTACTTGGAGGCCTTTTTCTGTGCTCGCTTTGTTGTCACATTCTGAGCTGGGGACACCAATTGCCCAGGTCTGATCTTATTATTATCCAATCAAGTTGTTGATGTTCTTGTTGTTGCACGTAATCGCGGTCTCTAGTTTCTCTTAATTTGTTTTGCTGTTGAATTGTACTTTTGCAAAGAATAACAGGGAGACCTGCAGCTTCTATATAATTTAACGTTCTCAGAACGTGACCTCTCTGCCTTTGTATATCTGTGGAGTGGTTAGCTAAAAGAACATTTATTTTGTTCTCTCAAGATTAAGCTAATATGGATAAAAGCAGCAACCTAATGCCACTTTCCCACTTTTCTCTGTAGTTCGGTCCCCATTAGCGAAGCAAGTGTGATGGTAGCAATCTCTTCCCCTCACAGAACAGAATCTCTTGAGGCTGTCCAGTATTGTATCAATACTTTGAAAGCAACCGTGCCTATCTGGAAAAAGGTACGTGTGTCTCAGTCCACTTGTTTTCAAACGAAAGGACAGTCAGTGATGTTTGTACCAGGTCAGTTTTCTAGGGCAATTTGCAGAAGAGGGAAATGTTTCTTGAGGCGATGCTAGGAGTTTAATCTAATAAGCACAAGTTCAGCAAACACATGTTCAATAGAGCTGTGTATAAATAGACACATGTGTTTGCCACATGTTTCTGTACTTTCAAAAATAGCAATACATTGACCAGAATCCTGATGTGGCTTTATGCAGATACAAATGCTGTTAATCAGGTGTAAGTGATTTACATTTTTGAATTGTTTAAATTGTTTTTACTGATTTTAATGCTCTTGTTTTGACTTGTTGAATTGTATGATTCACTTTGGTCTGTTTCGGTATTTTTTACTGTTATATATTATTTAAATTGGTTACACTTGTTGCATGCTGTCCTGAGATGATATGACACAGGGCTTCTTAAACATTTCCCACCCATGACCCCTTTCCACCTAATACATGACCCTGGTATATTGGTATATAAAATAGTTTAAAAATCAAACATTTACTGAATATAAAGTAGCATTTACAAGGCTTGCTAAACAAAATAATTTTCCTTTTTGTGGAGTACAGCCGAAGCATTTTCTGCAATGTGTAAATGCTGCACATTGTTGCTAACAGATTTGTGTAAAATTCTATGTGGCATTTTATTGTTGCCAATTTTTTTCATGACCCCAACATTGAAGTAAGGGGACCCCATTTAGGGTCAGAACCCACAATTTAAGAAGCCGTGTTATGACATAGGACTGACTGTAAGTATTGATTGAGGCCTTCTTACCTGCAAATCCCAAAACTGAAATACTCAAAACTTTTTTTTCCTGCCAGCTACCCACCTCTGCCTTTGGGGAAAGAGGGCTGGTTATACTGTATGGCCAGGACCCACTGAGTTTTTCCTCAGTGAAATGAGGAAATACAACAGGGGAAAAGTGAAGAAGGAAAGGAGGAGGACTTCCAGATGTTTCTCTAGTTATCAGCACCCTTTCCACCCTCATAGCTGGGAAGAGAGGGAAATGCCCAATTGGATCCAGCTGCCCCAGACTTGATGGTCCCCCCCTTCCCGGGGGTAGGCTGCATGGGTGCTGCTCCTGCTCATCCATGGCTCTCCTGTCTCCCATCTCAAATTGTAACTGCTATCTTCAATGTGGGTGTTGCAAAGATCAGGTTGCTTGTCCAGTTCACACTATGCTTGCCTTCTACCCAGCCAGTGGGGCAGGCACCCTGGTAATAGACTCCAAGTGCAGGCACAGAACCCCTGTGATATTTTGGCTGCCACTTGCACCCACCCAAGAGAGAATGAATGTGTGCTGATAGGCAGGAAAGTATCTGGGATGTTTCCTTTTTATAGTAACCCTGTGTGAGCAGAACCATGGGAATCAGAGTATTCCCCTATCAGATTTCTCACAATGGTGGAGTAACAGTTCCTTGAGAAAAAACTGGACATATGACAACCCCTTTTCCCCACAACCCTCCACTATGTATATGTAAGTACAGGTATTCAAACATCCTCCCCCCCCCCCCCAATCTGATAATTAAAATTGAAAGTTACCCAGCAGAAGTATCATTTGAAAGTTTTCAATTGATACTTCTGCTGGGAGAGTCTTCAGTGTGATCCCAGCCTCTATCCATAGTCATATTTGCAGCATTCTGAAAATCAGTACTATAATATGGGAACCTGCTGAATAAGCAGAAGGGAAAGAGGGAAAATCCCTAAAATGCTGTTTCAGATATTTCTTATAATTATTACTCTTCTGTTTCCAGAAAACTTTGTATGTCTCACTATTATTGTGTAAGGAGTTCTCCAGTCATTCTCATCTATTATACTTCTTGATTGTAGGAGGTATATGAAGATGACTCCTCCTGGAAGAGAAATAAGGAGTGTTTTTGGATGAAGACAGAAAAATGAAACTCTGCCAAAAGCTTCATTGTAATTGCCTGATGTTTCAAAACAATGTGGACAGGAGCTCCATTTGAGCCACACTTCCACTTTATTTGACTAACCTGAAGCATTTGCAAAGTAACTGCCTGAGTTTCTGCAATGTACTTACATTTTTTTCTTTTTTCTCTCTGCTCTAATGAACTTTGAACCTAGTGCTGGAATTTTTGCAAAGCTGTGCAGCCTGTACATGTGATGAATCCTGGAAATTCGTCATCACCTATGAAATCTTTTGTATTTTCACGATAGTTGAAATTTTGGACTGGTTACATGAATTCTATCCTGTCAAATAATCTTTTGTACTTCAACACACAGCACAAATTTCATCATGTAATATCTACATTGAATCATCACAATAGGCCATGGTCTAATGCTGGTTTCTCTAAGGCCTGGGGATTTAATTTCTGTCATGGCCAGGAGCAATGGTCCTACCTGTTGACTTACCCTGATTTTCAGTGTATTGTTTACAAAAGCCAGCTTCAGAATTCCATGGATGAAGTTGGCTTGGAATAAACAAAATAGTTTACAATAGACACTGTTTGTAGCGTTTGAGTAACAAGACAAGTGCTGACCAATAAAATATGGATGCGAAACTTTCATAACTGTTCTTTGCTTGGGGAAGAGGGCTAGGCTTGTTCATATCAAGTGCAAGTGCAGCCATTTGTCTGTACAAACATGTCTGTATGAATGCACACAAAGTGTCAATAGCCAATCAGCATTCTTACATTGTTGAAATCTCAGGGTGCTATGAAGTCCACTAACCAAAATCTTGTGTCTAAGTTTTTATTTATTTATTTATTTATTTATTTATTTCATTCACTTATACCCCGCCCTTCTCACCCCTGGGGGGACTCAGGGCGGCTTACATAGAGGGCACAATTAGATGCCCAAACACACAACAATTAGTCCAAAAAATTTAAAATCAACAATTAAGTTAAACAATAATACATAATAAAAGCATAAATCCTAAAACAATCTCATGTCAGAGTCCAAAATATCAGCGTCCATACATCCGTTCTATTCCGTTTGTCATTATCTACCGCCAGTCCTTGATTTAATTATCAGAGTGACCAAAAGCTTGGTCCCACATCCAGGTCTTTAGGTTTTTCCTAAATGCTAGGAGGGAGGTCGCCGATCTAATCTCCCCGGGAAGTGCGTTCCATAGGCGGGGGGCCGCCACTGAGAAGGCCCTGCTCCTCGTCCCCGCCAGCCTCACTTGTGATGCTGGCGGGGTCGAGAGCAGGGCCTCCCCAGAAGATCTTAAACTTCGAGGTGGGACGTAGAGGGAGATCCGTTCGGACAAGTACACTGGGCCGGAACCGTATAGGGTCTTATAGGTCAAAACCAGCACTTTAAATTGTGCTCGGAATTGGATCGGCAGCCAGTGGAGCTGACGCAACAGGGGGGTGGTGTGCTGATTATTGATTGATTATGTTTTATTTGGGGGTTTATTTGTTCAAGGGTTGTGACTTGTGCATGCATTTGTGTAAACTTACATTTGTGAACTTAAAAACTACCAGAATGTCTCAGTCAGTATGTGGTGGGAAAGCTATAAGTTGTGATGATGACCCTCTTACCACTTTCATCACATTAAGCAGGGAAGTGTGTGGCAGAGGAGAGCAGAGAAGAGCTCAGTCTTACTCAGTTTTTTAATGAAAGGAATGTTTTCCCTACTTTCTATCACACTGTTAAATCTCTCTCTGTTTCCTTTTACTATTATTTCTCACTGAAGAGATTTGCCCTTGTCCCCCATCCTCTACCTGCTCATCATTGAAAACTAGGAGGGAGGGAGGAGAAAGCAGTGATGCTCCCTCTCTCCCACTCCCTCTTGGCTGCCCCGCTGAGAAGGGTGTGGACCTTAGAAAACTATAACTCCCAGGATTGCATAGTAACACTCAGTAGAATTTAGTAAATGTGATGAAGTGGTTAGTATATTTTTCCTTCCTTTGGAAATCAGGCTCCAAAGAAGTACTAGCATGAACATGAATGTAGCACATGGAGAGGATTAATCTTTTTTCTTCTGTGTACCTTTCATCCCCATATGTGTGTATCCCCATTAGGGCATATGAGAGCCTGTGGCAAAGCTTGTAGAAATAAAATGTTTTTGGATTACATCTCCCTAATCCCCCAGATGGCACTACTGGCATCATATTAGTTTGGGATGCTTGGAGCTGTAGTCCAAAAGGATAATGCTTCCAAGATCTGGAACCTCCAGAAAGATTAGAATCTAATCCCTACCAACCCAGCCATGGTATATTAACTTGCTTGCATTTATACAATTTATTACGGATTTTCCCTCTTATGCTTCTGATCCATCTGCATCAGTCAAAGCTGTTTGTAACAATTTATTATCACCATACAAAACAACTTCTGCACTCTAAAGTGGTGGTTTGTCTTACCTTTGGTTTAATCAAAATGATAACAGTGTTTGTGCTTCTATGAGTAATATTTTTTGTTTTGGTGAACTAAGCCTGATCTACTAGCAAACCTGGAACACATTTTGTTTAGGTTTGCTAGTAAACTAAAGCTGCGATAAAGTCAGAAACAGAAATAAAAACTTCAGTTGTTTCAGCACTGACAGAAAAAATGAGGATAGAAGGGTGCACAAAAAGTTTTGGGTTTGTTTCTTCAACAGCAAATCACAATTCAGCCTCTGGTCTCAAGTGCAGTAAATGGATTTTATTTATTTTTTAAAGACAGTAAAGCGCTCTCATTGCTGCCATTTCACTTGTTGTCTACACAATTATAGCACTATGGTTCCATTTCAACCACCGTGGTTTCATTGTATAGAATCCTGAGATTTGTAGCTTATGTATTAAAAATTCTCAGCCAGAGATCTGTAGTTTCCCACCAAACAACAAATGTCCACAGGAAGATGCCATATAAATTTAAAACAAAATTATAGCACTTTTTTTGTGCCAGGAACTACTTGAGAAACTGTAAGTTGCCTCCGGTGTGAGAGAATTGGTTGTCTGCAAGGACGTTTCCCAGGGGACGCTAGGATGTTTTGAGATTTTACATCCTTGTGAGAGGCTTCTTTCATGTCCCCTCATAGGGAGCTGGAGCTGACAGAGGGAGCTCATCCATGCTGTCTCCGGAGTCGAACCTCTGACCTATCGGTCTTCAGTCCTGTCGCCACAAGATATAGTGATATAAGCATGTAGTGTGAAAGGACCATGGGCAGTGGTTCAATACTTTTTTGGAATCTTATCTAGATAGATGTCAACCTTTCAGAGAGCCAGCTTGTTCTAGTAATTGGAATGCTGGACTAGGATCATGGTAAAACAGCATGAAACCCCTTGGGCAAGTCACACTCTATTCAGCTTAGAGGAAGGGAATGGCAAAACTTATCCAAGAAAATCCTATGATAGAGCTGGCCATAAATCAGAGCTGGCTTAAAGGCACAGAACACTCATCTCTTTGTTTAATTTTCTCTATTAAATAATATAATTCAGATGTATTTATTGTATCTGAGTATGCCTTACAGCTTTCTGCCTCAACTTTGCTTGCACAGGTGTTGAAAGGAAAATCCTTTTTTATGTCAACCTTTGCTCCAAATACATGATGATAAATGTGTGGTTTTATAATATTTTAATACAGTCAATGATTTTTTTTTTACCTCTGATACACTATCTGGATTGGTATATTCATGTTGATTCTTTCTGAAGCTAAATGATAATACATGATGAAATAAATTATTTACTACAGTAAATTACAGGGGTTTTGCATAGATCTGAAGCGTATGGCTACATGGCACTATTAAGAACTCCTCCAGAGCACGTTTTTGACTGGGTTGGAGGACTACAAAGTAAATGGGAGGTAGAAAATGTCACTGTGCTTGGAGATGGCTACTAGTAAGAAGCTGGATTTAGGGTGAAGACATTTTCTAAGCACAGTAGGTCCACTTACTATGTGAGGGATCTATTCTTGTGTAATTTGTGGAATACAAATTTCACATATACTTTGGAACCCTATTTTTCTTTCCTGAAATGGATTACATCTGAGACATTCAGTGAAAGCACTCTATAGGATTGTGCTGGAGAACGTAATGACGCCTAGCGACTTACAGCAAAAGTTAACAGTGCAATCGCACTGGACACCTAGAGTGAACACATAGAATCATAGAATCCTTGAGTTGGGCCATCCAGTCCTACCCCCTGCTAAAAAGCAGAAAAATCACATTCAAAGCACTTCTCTAGACATCACTAAATCCTCCAGAGCAATCTGATGTTATTCAGAGCTCTTTGTGTATAGTTAAAACTGTATTCACCAAGTGCATAATATGTGCACCTATTACAGTGGTGAGATATTGGTAGAGATGTTATCAATAATACTAGCAGGAAACCTTGAATCTTGCATTTTACACAAACATTGGACTAGTCAAGGATAAAGTTGGAAGAAGAATCACAATGTAGTGATGTGAAGACATGCACATTAATTGATAAAAAGAATGGGTAGGATTGCCCTTTTTCAGAGCCACAAAAGCTATGATGCTGAAAAAACTCAATATATAATCTACAACAAAAACCGTTTGTTTTGCAAAAGAGAAACAAGATGAAATGTAATAAACAGCAGAATGCAGGATGTAAAGCTGCAGTTGCTATAGTTTATATTAAACCTTATAAATGTAATAGCAGACTAATATGAGAGCTAAAACATGTATTAATATAATTATAAGGATACACAGGGTTATACATCTGTAGGCCACTGATGCGAAGCTGGCCAAAATGTTTAAGGTATTGGCCTCATAGGTACATAGAAGCAAAAAATACTTTAGAACTATATAGAGTTCACAAACACTTTATTATTAGAATTATAGAGTTGGAAGAGACTGCGTGGGACATCTATTCCAACCCCCTGCCATGAAGAAAAAGCACAAAGTACCCCTAACATATCCAGCCTCTGTTTAGAAGCCTCCAAGGAAGGAGCTTCCACCACACTCCGAGGCAAAGAATTCCACTGCTAAACTTACAGCTCTTACAGTCAGGAAGTTCTTCCTAATGTTCAGGTAGAATCTCCTTTCCTTTCCTATTGCTCCTAGACCTCATTTCCAGGGCTGTAGAAAACAAGCCTGCTCCCTCCTTATGACATTCATTCACATATTTATTAGGCCTGGTTGATCAAGAAAAAATTTGGTTCTAAAATCGATTTGTAATTGGGGTGTTTTTTTGTTTCGATATTTAAAATAATTACAAAATTTTCCCCCAAAAAAGTTTCGGTATTTACGAAATTTCGTAAATATTAATGAATTGATTCGTTAAGATGGCGGACCCCCGCGCATGCGCAAAATCACTTCCGAAGCTTCGTTATTGGCGCGGGGTCGATTCGTTAAGGTTATAACGAATCGATTCGTTAAAACGGCGGACGCGATTGCGCATGCGCAAAGCGACTTCCGAAACTTTGTTATTAAATACGAATCGATTCGCTATTAAAATAATAACGAATCGATTCGTTAAAACGGCGGACGCGATTGCGCAATGCTAAATGCTCTATAAACAAAATCATTTCATAAAATAAATCA